GTCACTATGAGTCAGAACTGCCTCGACGGCACTTAACAACAACAAAAATTCATCTAGACCAAAGACAAAGATTCAAAAAACAAAGTTACAAACGGAACATATTTATGGAGTGGAGGTGGTGGTGGTTATGTGCCATGGAGTCAGTTCCAACTCATAATGACCCTGTACAGGGTTTCAGAGACTAAACCTTTATGGGAGCAGAAAGCCTCGTCTTTCTCCCAAGGAGCAGCTGAGAGAGCCAAACTGCTGACCTTGTGGTTAGCAGCCTAAGTGGTAAGCCATTATGCCGCCAGGTCTCCTTTATAGAGTGGGAGAAGGTTTAAAGCGTGAATAAAGCGTGGAAGTGAATGCTACAGTAAAACTTGACAAAACCAGAACCGGATGTCTCAGTTCTCTAGTGTTGCCATAACAGAAATACCACAACAAACAGAAACGTATTCTCTCTCAGTACGGGGGCCTAGAAGTCCAAATTCACGGTGCCAGGACTCAGGAAAGGCTTTCCCTCTGTGTCCGCTCCGGAGGAAGTTCTCTATTTTCTCACAGTTCTGGAGGCAGAAGCCCTAATCAGAGTCCTGGGGGTCTCCTTTCCTCCTTTGTCAGTATCGCCACCTGTTCACCTGCCATCTGTCCTCCCTGGATGTGTCGGCTTCCTTCTTTGTCTGTGCTGACCTTTATAGAACTCAGAAGTGATTGGATTTAGGGTCCACCGTACACTGGTGGGGCCTCAACTGTTAGATCACATTACATTAGGTGCAGTCTGGACATGGTCCCATCATATTACCTCACATTACATCCACATTGCGCTCTTCTCTTTGGATACCGGTTGCCAGCTGTTCAGTTCCGACTCAGAGTTTCCCTGTTTGTGCAGAGTAGAACTTGCTGCACTGGGTTTCCAAAGCTGTGATTTTCAGAAGCAGATTGCCAGGTCTTTCTTCCTAGGTACCTCTGGCAGCCCACCCCACCCACTGCCATGGAGTCCATTTCCAACTCACTGTGATTCTATCGGACACAACAGAGCTACATATAGGGTTTCAGAGGCTCTAAATCTTTAGCAGAACAGACAGCCTCATCTTTCTCCCAGAGGGCATATGATGGGTTTGAACTGATAGTCTTGTGGTTAGCAGTTTAACGCCACCAGGGCCCCTTTTTCAATTGTCAGCTAAGCATTTGACCATTTATTCTTTCCAGGGATGCTTTCCACAGGTGTGTTGTCGTTAGGTGCTGTCCAGTGGATTCCAGCTCACAGCGTCCACATGCACAGTAGAAGGAGACACTGCCAGCAGTGTAGATGTTAGGGTTCCAACACATTTTGGGGGACAGGAGTGCAATTCATTAGAGACAGGAACTCTATTGTGGGAGATGTGGGGGTGCAGGGAGCAGAGAGGGAGGAAGGTTCAAAAGCCAAGTAAGCAAGACTGAGAAGGGGAGGAAGTGGCCAGTGCTCAGTGAACCCTCAAGTGTGAAAGATTAATCCAGAAACCATTCAGGAATCACGACCATGAAATCAGCCCGGGGTGATATCCCTCACTGCCTGCATCCTCACCTTCCCCACCTCCCACAAAGCCTCACTTCCTAAACCAAAGTCCTGGAAACTGGCCCCATGCCCCTCATAAGCACCGGCTTCTACACACCATGCCCTTCCTTCCAAAGTCCCTGTCGACTTCTCATTCAGAGCAATAAGCTCGTCCTGTTTTCAAGAGATGGTGAGTGGGCCCTGATCCCAGGGAGCAAAAGCACCGTCCACTGGGTTTGACACTGTCCGAGGCATGTGTGTGTTGCATGGATGAGTCTGCAAGAAGGGGTCAGGTTTTGGGGGCTCTGACGTGAATGGGAAGGCAGAACCGTGCTTGGGACATTGCTGCACTCAATGTTCAGAACGGCCCCCACGGGTCTGTCCTGCTCAGAGGAACAGAGTGTTGGAAGAGCGATTATGCTTAGACACACTTTGGTGGTCAACTGAACAATGTGTAACTGCTGACTGTCAGATCTGGCATGTTTGCTGATTGGTGAAGTTTTAAGAATAAAGGTTTTATAAAAGGTGATTTAAAAGCCAGGTGTTATTTCTAAATGAAATGGGTGGTGCCCAGCTACGGTTACTGAGTATTTTGATCCAGGACTCAATAGATGATCCTGATTTAAAGAAGGCAAAGCCTGGAACAGATCATCAAGTTCCAATGGAAACCAGACTCACTGGATTCACTGACACTGAGGGAACCCCCAAATTGAATGCCTGCAAATCATCTTTAAATCTTGTACTACTCCATGTTGTTGTTGAGTGCTGTCAGATTGGTCCCCACTTAGAGTGACCCCTATACTGGGCTTCCAAGGAGTAGCTGGTGGGTTTGAAATGTGGTTAGCAGTCCAGTGCTTATCTTACAGTTCCACAGCAGCAGCTAAGCCCAATTCATACAGAATGTTTGCACTGAGCCTGGTACTCCCATAAACAACTATCTCATATCTCATATATCGCTTATAAACATAAGAGAATTTAAAGGAGCAGACCATTTCATGATGGAGCTAAAACAGGATGGGTAGCACAGAATGATGACACGGTATGCAGATGTAACTAATGTCGTGGAACCGTTGATGGAGAAAGCGTGACTGGATGTGTGTTTGGTCATGTTATAGCTAAGGCTGGGTGGCCAAGTTCCAGAAAAACATGGCTTCAGGATTGAAGGAAAACTCATTAACAACCTGCGATATGCAGATGACACAACCTTGCTTGCTGAAAAGTGAAGAAGACTTAAAATACTGACCAAGATCAAAGACCACAGCCTTTGGTATGGGTTGCATCTCAATGTAAAGAAAAGAAAACTCCTCACCATCGGGCCAATAAACAACATTCATATGAATGGAGAAAAGATTCAAGTTGTCAAAGATTCATTTTGCTCAGATCAGCCATCAAAGCTCATGGAAGCAGTAGTCAAGAAATCAAACAACATATTGCATTAGGTGGATCTGATGCACAAAACCCCTAATCTTTTGCTCAAAATGTTGAAGAGCAAAGATGTCAGCTTGAGGACTAAGGTGAGTCTGACCCAAGCCATGGTATTTTCAATAACCTCATATGCATGTGAAAGCTGGACAGTGAATAAGGAAGACCATAGAAGAATTGAGCATTTGAGTTACGGTGTTGGAGGAGAATATTGAAAGTGCCATGGGCTGCCAAAAGATCCAATCTATCTGTGTTGGAAGAAGTGCAGCCAGAGTAGTCCTTGGAGACAAACTTTGCCTCTCATACTTTGGACGTATTGTCAGAAGGAACCAGCCACTGGAGAAGGATATCAAACTGTTAGGTCAAATGGAGGGTTGAAGAAAAAGAGCAAGACCCCCATCAGGATGGATTGGCACAGTGGCAGCAGCAACGGTCTCAAGCATAGCAATGATTGTGAGGTTGGCACAGGGCTGGGCAGAGTGGGTACCAACTCAATGCCACCTAACAACAAAATGAGATCACATAGTCAACAATTAACTTAAAAAAAAAAAAAACAAGATAAGAAGATAAGGGGGTAGGGAAACTAGATTAATGAAATGGGCCAACCAGAATAGAAATTATGAGGATGTTCACTCATTATAAAGAATGTAACTGATATCAGTAGATAACCTGTGTGTGGAATTTGCTGAATGGGAACATGAGCTTCTGTGTAAATCTTTCCTGAAAACACAAGCTGTTTAAAAAACAATTATGTTATGGGTTGAGTTGTGTCCTCTTCTATAATATGTGTCAACATTGCTAGGCCGTGCTTGTAAGTATTATGGAATTATCCTGCATTTTATGGTCTGCTTTCATTATCCGGGATGTTGTAAACCTCACATCTCTGATGGTACAGAAAGCAGGGTTGGAGCCAGTGATGTGAGTGAGGCCGGATGTCATTACCCAGGATGCTGTAAACCTCACATCTCTGATAGTACAGAAGTAGGGTTGGAGCCAGTGATGTGAATGAGGCCGGATGCTATCTACAGAATTAGGGTGTTTCTTGAATCAGTCTCTTTGGAGATGTAAAAGGGATTAAACAAATGACCAGAGATGAGAGGGATTTCTGCATGTTCTTTTGACCTGGGATCCCTGAGCTGAGAACCCCTTAGACTGAGGGGGAAACTGAAGGCAAGGACACAGAGAGAAAGCCTGAAGCTGCTTTCTCTCTTCTCTCAGAAGAGAGGCTGTTCTGGACAGATTGTCTGGGGGCAATGCCATGTAAAGGAACCCTCGAGGCATAGTTGTCAATGAGCTAGCTGCCAACTGCAGGGCCAGAGGTTCAAACCCACCTGCCATCCCGTGGGAGAACGATGTGGCAGTCTGCTTCTGAAAGCCTGTGGAGGCAGTATTACTTGGCCCTGCCGGATGGTGAGTCTGAATCCACTCCATGGCAGGGGGTTTCCGTCTTACCAGAAACAGAACGCAGGATCTTTTCTATTTAGACGCCACTGGGTGGATTCGAACCACCCACCTGTAGGTAAGCAGTCAAGTGGAAACCAGGAGGGTCATCCAGCGACCTTCCCAATATCTCAGAGCGAGGCCATAAAGGTGGCTGACTCATTTATGGAAATGAAAATTTCCATACAGGAAATGTGAGCAGTACCGCAGTGTACAAAGAGCAAGAAGAAAGAGGGCAGGGTCCCGCCACAAACAGGAAGCAGAGAGTTAATCAAGACTTGCTCATTTCTCTAGCTTTTAGAAGGGCTGGGATCCATCATAGGGAGCAAGAGGCCAGTGTCCTTTCTACTTCCCCTCAAATCTCTGGGTCCAGCGGGGTGTGATCCCCAGGCTCAGCAGGGAGCAGGACAGCAGGGAGAAGCCACGCCTCCTGCAACACACATGCAATTAGGTTCCTTCTTATGGTTAATAAATAGCCTCCAAGTGCCTGCTGCGTCAAATCGTCCAAAGGCCAGTTGGTCCCTGAGCGTATAAAGCTGAAGGATTGCTAAGGAGAGCGTTGTCTCTGAGTCTGCAGTGAGGCAGGAGCTGCGGGATCAGGGCGCCCGTTCCCAGGGGAGCAGGGATGCAGGACCGCAGCAGCCTCCTTCTGTGCGCCCTGACGCTCCTCACCGGCTTCTTGGTGGTCTGCCTGGGGGCCTTCTTCATCTCCTCAGGTTCCGTGTTCAGCTGTCGGGGGAACCTGATCGCAGCCTATCTGCTCTTGCCTCTGGGCTTTGTCATCCTTCTGAGTGGAATTTTCTGGAGCACCTACCGCCAGGCGTGCAAAAGCAAAAGGATGTTCAGTCACGTGGTCAGACAACACCTCGCTCAGGGCAGCCTGGCCACGGTGGACAGGTACCATGCGGGGCGGGGGCGGGGCTGAGATGGGGCTCTGACCCCGCTGTGGGAAGATTTTCATGCCCCTTAGGACTGCTGGTGGGAAAATGGAATTGAATGATAATGGAGTTGGGGATCCCACACACTTTTTGAAGCCCTCTCATATCTATTGAAAGGAACTCTGGTAGCATAGTGGTTACAAATCAGGCTGCTAACCTCAGGGTCAGCAGTTCGAAACTACCAGCTGTTCCCCGGGAGAAAGATGAGGCTTTCTGCTCCCGTCAAGATTTACAGCCTCGGAAACCCTGTACAGGGAACCGACTGCACAGCATATAACAACAACAACGTATCTATTGAAGGAGCTGTGGTAGCGTAGTGGATTATGAGCTGGCTGCTAATCACAAGGTCAGCAGTTCGAATCTACCAGGAGCTCTGCAGGAGCAAGATGAGGCTTTCTGTTCCTGTAAAGATTTACAACCTCAGAAAGCTAATACAGGATCGCTAAGAGTTGGAACTGATTCAGTGGTACACAATTACCACCACCACCGGCATCCTGGTAGCTTAGTGGGTTGCATGCAAGCTGGGATGCTGACAGGTCAGCAGTTCAAATCTACCAGTCACTGTGTGGGAGAAAGATGAGGCTTTCTGTTCCCATAAAGATTTACAGCCTCGGAAACCCTATATAGGGTCACTAGGAGTCAGAACCGACTCAACGGCGCACCACCACCACCATATCTGTGGAGCTGATTTTGACTCCTAGTGACTCCCTAGGACAGAGTAGAACTGCCCCTACAGGGTTTCCAAGGCTGTAAACCTTTACAAAGCAAACTGCTCTTTCTCCCACAGAGCAGCTGGTGGGTTCGAACCACTGGCCTTCCCATTAGCAATCAAGTACTGAACCCACTGTGCCCGCAGGGTTTCTTACAGCCCAGCACAGCTCCATACGTAGGCTTTTCTTGGCTGGAATCTTTATAGGATCATCAGGTATCTCTCCCTCTGATGAGTTCAAACCACAGATCTTCATGGTTAGCAGCCTAGAGCTTAACTGCCGCATCACCAGGGATCCTTTGCCATTTGTCTGGAACACAAGTCTCATTGGAGTTAGTCATTAGAGAAAACGGCGTGGCCTTTGGTGAAAGCTGTGACGCAGAGGGAATTTAGTGGGTGGCACTAGTGGTTTTCAATTAGCTGCTAACGCACAGGTTGATGGTTTGAATTCATCCAGTGTTCCACGGAATAAAGGCCTGGTGAACTGCAGTTATAGTTTGTCCCATGGGGTTGCCGTGAGTCGGGGGTCAACTCGATGGCAGCACACAGGAACAGGGGTATTTTACTACTATTCTACTAGGGGGAAACCCACCTAAACCAACTTAAGAGGCCCAATTTTGTTATATCGTAGAAGGTTGTTGTTGTTGTTGTTGTTATATCCTGGAAGTTGACAACAGAGATGGGTGATAGTTAATTATCCTCCATAAACTGAATACCAGACCGAATTCCACCCACTTCACATCAGATCAGTCACAGAATCTCTTACTAAGTTTGCTGTCCTTCAAGGTGTGTTGCTCATTGCGTGGAGAACAGATTCATTGTTACAGGTGAGGACCTTCAGAGGTAAGATTCTGCATCAGGCAACCTACCAGATGCTGTTGGGGTGATTTCAACACACAGCCACCCCATGTGGATCAGAGCAGATTTTTTTTTTTTTTGGAGTCACTTCTGGGTGGATCGAACCTCCAACCTTCCAGTAGGCAGCAAGTACATTAATTATTTGCACACCAGGGACTCCATCAGACCACCAGAAACCTAATGCTGAACGGATCATGGGACCACTTAGAATAAAGCCCCAGGCATCCGCCTTTCGGGCCAATGCTTTTGCTTTCTACGTGCAATGGTTGTTGTTGTTGTAAAGTGCTATTGAGTTAGTTCCAACTCATCAGGACCCTGTATAGGATTTCTGAGGAACAGCTGGTGGGTTTGACAAGGATGACCTTGTGGTTCCACAGTCCAGTGCTGGTCCTACAACATCACACCAGGAGGGAATATCTAAAACATTTCAGCAACCTCATGGATCTTGACTACAAGTCATTTTACTATGAACAGCCCACTGTTTACATCCATTCTGCTAACTAATAAGGTATGAATGGTAACAACTCAAACCCATTTCCAATGCATGTTGGACTAATTAGTAAGATCTCTGGGTTTGATTAAAAAGAATTTTAAGGTGACTAAAGGAGCTCTGGTAGCATAGTGGTTACGAATCGGGCTGCGAACCTTAAGGTCAGCAGATTGAAACTACCAGCCACTCTGCGGGAGAAAGATGAGGCTTTCTGCTCCCATAAAGATTTACAGCCTCAGAAACCCTGTACAGGGTCACTATGGGCCGGAACCGACTCAACGGCACATAACAACAACAACAAAGTGATTTAGAAGACACTTTCAGAGCAAGAGTTTTCTTCTGCATATAAGCTAGAAGGAGGCCTGGTGGAACAGTGGCTTAAGTGTTGACCTGCTAGCAGAAAGATTGGCGGTTTGAACCCAGCAGTTATTCTTTGGGAGAAAGATGAGGCAGTCCACTCCCATGAACATTTACAG